AACCAGTGGTATGATCACTAATGTACCTGCTGGTGCAAACACTTCTCTAATAAAACTTTGCTTCTGCCTGATGCAATCAAGAAACCCGTGTCTGGGAACTGGGTTCCTTTAGAAAACCAGGGGCTGGCCCAAGTGCAAACCACAGCCCCAGCCAGGCCAGCCAGTCTCTGCCGTGGCCCAGCGGGAAAAGCTGGAAGCCCCTGCACAAGGCTCACCTAAATCGGTCGGGATCATGCTCCACTGGGAGCAAAGCTGCTTTGCCAGTGGGCGCCAGAGAACGCCAGTGGCAGCCAGAGAACGGCCTCGCTGACCTTGCGGGTCTTGTCCACCTCTGCCCTGTCCAAGCGTGGAGCACACGCTGCCCATTCTTGCCTGACATCCTCCATGACCCGCATGAACAGCCAATTTGGGCACATCCCCATGTGCTTCCCACAGAGCGCTGTGCTAAAACACTATCTTAGGAAACTTTTGAAAGTTGGTGATCTGGAGCAGATTGCCTCAGCCCCAGCCTAGTGCTGACACATCCCGGCTGTGCCCTCTCCCACCTCATCATCCAGCCTGGGAACAGGGATTAGGTTGAAGAGGAAATCTTGGTCTCCACAACTGATACAATTTCTGCTGACACGGCTTACGTTCCGACCTAGCCCTTTCATTTTATAGGAATCTTCCCTTTGGGAAAAGGACTGGAGGCACAAGGTTTCCTTCCTATCTATGTTCACATAGTGATTGAGTCATTTACCTTCTATTTCAAAGAGTTTCAACCTGAACATCAGGAACTGTTGATAGTAATTCCATGAAACACACCTTTGGAGAAGCGGAGAGGGCAGGACAGGGGCTGACAAAGCGCAGCTCAGCAGAGAGTACAATGGAGAAAAAAGCCATCCAGGGCCTTTGGATACACAGAGCCATCAGGTCTGAAACCTCCCAGGCAAAGCAAAGATCGCTCCCTCCTTTGGGCCTCGAGCAGCAGCCGCGTCGCTGATGCTGGGTCAGCACGGACCGGGCTGGTAGTGTGCGTGCACCCTGCCGCTGACCTGGGCTAGGGATGCGGGGCAGCCGTTGGGTGACGCAGGGCCCCGGAGCGTTTCTGGTGGGTGCAGCCTTGGGAACCGGCCACGGTGAGCCTGCAGAGTCACCCTGGGCTTGGAGAGCTTTCAGTTAAAAGTCATTATGAGCCATAATGAGCTGGAGGGTGTTTTGAGGATTGTCTGTTGGTGATCAGTTTTACATGGAACCGGCAGGG